AAATTATTGTTTTCTTGGTTTTCCTTCAAGGATACCCATTACCCAATGTGGCACTCAAAGGAGAAGCTGCCCAGTCATCTACACTCTCTGTTGCCACTGCGTCCAAAGCCATCGATGGCAGACGGAACTCGTTCTATAGCAATGGGTTCTGTAGCCACACGGCTGAAGACGAGACCAACCCCTGGTGGAGGGTGGACCTGCAGCGAAGCTTTACAATCACTGCTGTAAAAGTCACCAACAGAGGAGACTGCTGTGCTGAAAGACTGGATGGAGCTGAGATCAGAATAGGAAACTCACTGGAGAACAATGGAAACAATAATCCCAGGTAATGATGAATTTATATCAGTCAATGTTCATTGTGATTTTTTCTTTGTTTGTTTCATCTTAAAATAATTTCAACAGCAATAGTTCAGAGATTGCAATATTTATATATTATGCACCACAGGACTAGTTCAGGACTTCATGTTACTTCCTCCTGAACTGGAACTCCACAACATTAACATAATACTGCCCTGTTAAATATCCCAACTCTTTGATCTTTGGGCTGAAGGAAGAATAACACTCAATGCATAAATGCTCAATCAACAATTACTTTAATCAACAGAATTCTCTTTATTCCATACAACACTTTGAGCATTTCAAACGTCCGAACAGGAGATATGCACTGGAGGGTGTCCGGCAAAATCTCAAAATGTCTGACCATTTCTCACATTCTTACTTCCAAACTAAGCATCCACATTCTTTCTCTCTCACTGAGCCTAAGTTACGACCTTGACTTTCTGTGCAGTATGTTTTGTTCTTCCTACAATCAGAAAAGCAAGGCCATGATTCTCCGCAAACAGTATTTTCTTTATAAATCAGCAGTATGAAGTACCATAGAACAGTGTAATTCATTCACAGTAAATCAGCAGTCTAATGTAATACAAATCAGTCTAATCAATATAATAATTTCACCTTCTAACTCAGGAGTATAATGCAACCTAAAACTATATAATGATTTCATAAGCTTAAATCAGAGGTATAATGTAACATAAGACAGTGTAATAATCTCACAATTCCCCCTTTGAGCTCTTCTTAAACACAGGTCACATGTGGGGCGACCATGGCGCTGGGGTTGGGAAGCGCATCTGTAACCAGAATGTCGCCGGTTCGATCCCCGTGCTCTCTGTCCTGGTCGTTGTGTCCGTGGACAAGACGCTCTAGGGCTCTAGTTACGGAACCATCTGGGGCTATATTGTTGGGAATGAAAGTGCAGCACATCTCTCCAAACATTACCCACACACTCTCTTGTTACCCACTAGGTGTCAGTTCTCTTAGTTGTCATGCTTCTTTTCTCTCTCTCAACCCTCTGTCCCCCTTTTATAGGTGGACCATATGTGGGATAACTGCTGTGTTTGGGAAATTTAGATGCAAGAAAAATAATGTTCTTCTAGTCACTAGAAGAACATTATTTTTTCATTTCATTTTTCACTAAAATCTAGTGATTCAAAGTTGGTTTAGTATAACATGTTCGTTACTTTATGACCCACAGACTTATTCTAAACATAACCTAGGTGTGTAAGCATGTTTGCAATGACCCCTCTGCACTCTAAGTCATTTCCCACAATATATCAGTCACGCCAAACAAAGCTTATGACCTTCAGAAGACTGAGTTCCAACTCTCATGAGCACGTTTGCCAGGCCCTGTGTCAGCCCCCCCTTAATGATATAATTAACTCACATGTACATGTACATATTTAAATTCTTAAGATTGCATTTAAACTCACAAAAGAGAATTTCCTTCCTTCAGTAGGTCATTTGTGTTGTTCAATAAGCAGAAACCATCTCACAATTTGACTATCTTATCTAAATGTATTGTTTCATCACTGGTTGGACATACCAGTCTTTCTTTTTTTTAAGTTAACCTTGCTGAAATTCACGTGTTAATGAGTGTAAGCTGATTTTCATTGCATGTGTGCATTAGTAGGCGGGTTAATTCTATGTGTGTTCAGTGGAGCTGCAGATCCAGCAAACCCTCTGTGCGTGTTTTTGTTTGTTGCGATGTTCCAGGCACTTTCCCAACCTCCACAAGTCAGTTGGCCCCAAATCTCAACACAATTTTATGTGCTCTTAAAACCTTCATTTCCGTCCTTGCTGCTGTACATTTCACAGCTGCTGATTGTTGCTGGGTGTGGTTCCCATTATGTTTATCTATCAATTTGCTCCGGCTGCTGTGCTCATGGTGGAAGGTTGATCAAGGTCCGTAGCCACCTGTATTAACACACTGTGACACTTATCTAATATCATTTTCATCACTGCTCCATAGACAAGCAGGTAACACGCCCACCTTTACAGCATAAACTGCACACAAGTCTCGCAACACATTCCTCTCTCTGCTTGTCAATGTTGATACTGAAGGTTGACCCCGAAGGAAATTGGGTTAAGGCTGCCGACCTTTTGCCAGCGCCATCTTACCCTTCCAACCGTACATACATTGCACAGGGGGAAGACAGATCAGAGAGGTATAACACAATTTCTGCTGTCAGGTGTGCTTCCATCTCACATATCAAAGCGGGTAAAACCTACACATACCGGTGTGATGGAGGCAGCATGGAGGGTCGCTTTGTGAACGTGTTTCTTCCTGGACAGAAGAAAACTCTCACCCTGTGTGAAGTGGAGGTGTATGCTGCCCCAGCAGGTAGAGCTTTAAGCCACTGGATCTGATCTACTGAAACACATCTGCCTGATACTCATTCATACTTGTTTCTTCTTTTCAACAATTTAGTGGAACCGCTTCCAAACGTGGCCTTAAACAAACAAACAGTACAGTCATCAACTTGGTATGGGCCAGTGTTTGGGCCCTCAAAGGGTG